CAACACTGATGTTGCTGTCATTGATGATGGTGATGACTATCAAGCGCTGAGGTGTTTTTGAAAGGGGACCACTCCCAACCAACCGTAATCAAAAACGTCAGATTGCGTTCACAAGACCTTCATTAACTGCTTGCCGTTTTGTCACTACAACTCACGTTGAACAGAAGGTTGGCTGAAACCCGGGGTTTGTTTAGCTGTAGAACCCTTTCGGTGCCTGGCTGCCATGCCACCCGAAGGAAGCACGAAGGCTGGGATACTGTCGGGTTGCCAAAGTCTAGACAGGGGAAGCCGAAATGCAGAAGTCGGGTTCGAACCACGGACCTTCTGGTCAGTAAAGTCGCGCTCTAATCACTTGGGCCATGTCGCCTCCCCCCTAACCCGGGTAATGTGTATACCCGATGAGCCCCATAAAAGGTGAAGCTGTCCATCAAAGAGTTTCCGTCTTATGAGTTTCCATCCATTCGTTTGTATTCACTGACATCTCACCGCTGTCGAAAAGATGAACAAGGTCAACTGTATCCTGAGTCAAAAACATTCCACAGTTATCGATCAGCTACACTTTCGTTAACCACTCCCCCCAAATATGTCTTATTGCGACATGATGCACTAGGCTATCACCTGGCTGGAGAGATTCGCTCTAGATCAATAAAAATTCATCGTCCTTATCCATTCTCTGAGGTTGAATAAATCAGGTTCATGTGTGGTGTGAAATGGTGTGACCAGGCAATCTAACACACACGTGTGTGCTATGTTGCATATTCGTCAGCTACCAATGTGTACTTGTTGTAAGAGGAACCCCGCGGGTGAATGATGTCAAACGTATTTAGGTCTTTAACCACTGGACGGTCAATTTTAGTGGACTCGCTATCAGCTGATCAAGAAATAGGACCAGAAGGTACTTCACCGAGGGAATGGGGCGAGATGGCTCAGTGGTTAGAGCGGTGGGTCTGTGGTTCGAACCCGACCTGCACCTCTCGACTTCTTTCTAGGCTTGGGCCACCTGGCACTATCCCAGGCCTCGTGCTTTGTTCGGGTGGCATGGCAGCTAGGCACCGAAAGGTGCTACAACTGAACGGCACTCGTGATATTTCATAGTGTTGAGTGTTCCGGTTCAGCCCAGACGTGCTATGAATTGTATTATATCCCTTATATTTCTCACCTCTAGTCACGGAAAGACAACTCTTCTCCGACACATTGCTTCCCGTGCAATCAACATACCGAGTAATATTGACGTGTTACTGTGTGAACAAGGTGAGTGAAACTATGTGCTGTATTGTTCTCATTGTACTCCCATACCACCTCGTTTTAGGTTTTATCCGCGCCTTCCCGACTTAACCCATTGACTTCCTCTGTGATCACTTGTTAGTACTGGATGATTCTGCTAGGAGTGAACCCTGATATGGCATGTACTCATCTTTGGGAAATTGCTGTCACGACACCTCTTTGCATGGGGAAATTCATCCAGAATAGGGCCACATGCCTTTCACTGTCGTGCGTGCTAGTACAATGCCAGACCAATTTGAAGGGTCTCACGTCGCCTTTTCCAGTTTCGTTCACCTGGGGGGATAGAGGTGGGTAGATGCGCGTTATAGGCAGAAACTGATATAATCGACGCCGGAATCCAGAATTGACAGGGGACTTCACATTGGTAGGGTCGAGACGAGAAGCCAATGTCGTCGACTAGCGTGCGCCAATGAAGCGCACAGTGAACTCCGTTGGAACGATCGGTGAAAGCCCGTAACCTAGTTTGCTTCGATGTCTCTTAATTGCAACACCATAAAACCACAGTGTTCCAGCGGACCTGTCACGAAAGGTGAGACGAAGAACTCACCACAGCATCATTCTAAAGCCTCGTACATACACGGAATTCATCCACCTCTGCCTATCTGTGGCTGGTCATGGTGAGCACTGTTGTCGGTGACGTTGCACTTGGAACTACTGCTCGAAGTCGCTTTATTCCAATTTTATACGTGCTAATTTGTTTTCAATGCCTCGTGTTTGGTTTCATGCGCGCGCGAACTCAGTCGAACATTCAGTATGCGGATTCTTGTTGGTTTGACCCTATCCACAGTCTGTTTATATGGCCGAGACTTTATCGCTCCAGGAGCCAAGAAGAGCGACAAAGTTCATAGATTTCATTCTTGATAATTCATTTTTCTGTCCTTATTCGTTTTTTTTCTACAGAGGTGGTGGCAGACGAAACACCGGCTTTCGAAATGGTACTCAAATCCGACACGAGACGAATCGAACTGCTGGCCGAGTGCGAGAAGTTGAAGGCCCAGATCGAGACGGATCACAGTCAAGAAACGTTGGATCGATTTAATGAAGTGAGTAGGTGGTCGGTTGTCCTGCGTGGATGCATCTAGTTGACAGACAACCAATAAAAACCGAAAGGAATCAGTCGGGCTGATGCACCTTTGCGCACCTGCTCTTAGTTATTGGTCAGATAGAGCACAGTAGCTTAGGCGTGAACACTATCGCCTCTGGAAAACGCGTTACTAACTTGGTTGGTCAGATAGCGCGCAGTGGCTTGGGCGTGAACCGCATCGCCTCTGGAAAACGCGTTACTAACTTGGTCTTTTCTCATTACGACTGAATTCTGCGAAAGACAGGACTCGCTTATTTGTAATGCACTACTCATAAGGTTGCTGAAATCCGTCGACGGATTTTCAACAGCCTTATGAGTAGTGCATTACAAAGGTTTACATGTATCGCGATATCTCGAATATCGTAGCGACTGAAACATGAGGCGACCTGGTGCAGCACATTCAGTTGCCTGGAAACATCATAAACGAGAGATTCAGCTGGGTTCCAGGTGAGTCTCTCGAAAAACCAAATTAATTTGAAAATGAGTGTATATTCGCTAACAGGGCTGGCTTCTTTGATTGCAGTTGGACGTGCCGGACGATCTGCAACTCATGTTCGTCACCATAACCGACAGCAATATCCGTGTTGTTTCTTTGTCGCACAACCATTAACTCTATTTTAAAAAGCCCTACAGTGCAAAAAAAAGTGAATAGGAAAGGGAACCTGCGCTAACCTTGCACTATCCTGCCGCAATATGAAATTCCTACGCACCCAACCACCCAGTCAGATTGTTTGGTCAGAAACGGATAACGAGAACACTACTAACAGAGGCATACATTGCAAAGTCCTCAGCCAAGCGCAAGGGGAACCAAGAGGACGTGATTCTTAGAGCCGAGCCGCACAAATAACTCCCACGTTTTTAGTCGTCTCTGTCCACTTCGCGGTATTCTTCACTTTGAGGAATGCGAAGAGAACAACACTGGAGGTGCTTAGCACATGGCCGAGTCAGCGCGGTCTATGGTACTGGATGTTTTTGCCCAACAGAAGTACCATCCCCCCAACTGAACGCTCGTTCTTTAATTAGAAATTGTCTGACTTCATCCAAGATCACCTAAGGTTATGGGACGTCGGTGACGACCCGGTTTGTTTACCCGCGAAGGTCACGCCCCACTGTTTCTTCCTGACCTATAGTAAACCGGGAATAACCGGCCATTTTCCAATTAGCCACATACTGGCAAACTATCCGTTCTGATTGTAGTGTGACAGATGAGGTGACTGCACGAATCTGCAAGGCTCGGGCCGCGTTTGCCAATTTGAGACACCTATGGCGTCAGAATTGTTTATCCCTGAATCTGAAGGGGCGTGTGTATCAAGCTACAGTACGGGCTGTTTTTTGTATGGCTGTGAGACTTGGCCTGTTCGAGTAGCGGACGTGAGACGTCTTCAGGTGTTCGACAGTCGTTGTCTCAGAACCATAGCTCGTGTGGGTTGGTGTCGGTGAATCCGTAACGAGGTAGTTAGAAAGTGCGTTTTCGGTCGTGCGACGGGTACTTCCATTGAAGAATGTGTCCAGCGCCAGAAGCTGCGTTGGTTGGAATATGCGTCGCCTACGCCGAACCATCGTTTGCCAAAGAGAGTGCTGTTTCCCATGCCCAATTCAGATTGGCGTGAACAGCGAGGTGGCCAACCCTTGACTTGGCAGAGGA